ATTTGAGTGGTTTTCGAGTTTGTCGGAGAGGACCGTTAATTTCTCATCTATTTTTTGCTGATGACAGTTTGGTGTTTTTGAAGGCTTCGGTTCAAGAATCACAATCTCTCAAACATATTTTGGCTATGTACCTAGTAAATGAGGCAGAATCAGGGCCAGATCAAATTTTTAAATAAGTCTCCATTACGTTTCAGCGCTAATCCCCTCACCCCTCGGCACTCCAGAAATTCATATATATGTTTCCCTTATTCAGGTTACAGAAAAGGATACTTTAAGGCACTTAAATTGGGTTTACCGCTCACATGGGTCCGAATCGGAAGGAAGGTTTTGTAATTACATTATAGGACCTGAATGTGGAAGCGTTTTAAACTCATGGGAGCTAAAAAGTCCTCTCTTGCGGGAAGAGAAATTTTGTTAAAAACGGTTCTTCATGCTTTACCTAATTACCTTATGAGTCTTTTCTTGTTACCCAAGACTTTATGTACGGAACTGGAACGTATCATGAATCGGTTTTTGTGGGGCAGCGGGCGGAACTACTCTCAGGGTATTCACTGGCTTGCTTGGAACAAAATGGCCATCCCGAAGGTGTTCGGAGGGCTAGGATTTCGGAAAATTCATGAATTTAACATAGCTCTTCTAGGTAAACAGGGCTGGAAACTCATGGTAAACCCAGATTCATTGGCTGCACGTGTTTTGAAAGCAAAGTATTTTCCGACTTGTAGTTTTCTGGAAGCTAATCTAGGCTCCAATCCGAGCTTAATCTAGGCTAGGCTCCAATCCGAGCTATGTTTGGCGAAGCATTTGGGGGTCTAAGAGTTTGATTCAAAGGGGATTATATTTGCGGGTTGGTAGTGGTTCCAACATATCTATTTGGGATTCTCCTTGGTTGCCTGTCGAAGAGTGTTCTTTTATCTCCACTCCTCGACCACACAATAGTAATATTTTCCTGGTTTCAGATCTTATTGTACAACGAAGATGGGATGTTGAGCGGCTTCGACGATTATTCAATGCAAGAGATGTTGCTTGTATCCTCTCTATTCCTTTAAGTAATCACATGGGAGATGACCGGGTTTGCTGGAAATTTGACACAAAAGGTACATACACAGTCAAGAGTGCTTACAGAGAGTGCCTTTACAGATTACCCTACGAAAATCCTCTTGCGTCACAATTTAAATGTCTACTTCAATAAGGTTGGACTCAGCTGTGGAAGATGAAGATCCACCCAGAAGTTACAAATTTCATTTGGCGTGGCAAGTATGGTGATGGTTCTAACCTTGGTAGGAGGGAATTTATACTCTTCGGAGAATTTATGCTCTCGGAAGGTGGACATTCAAGATATTTGCCCTCTATGTCTTGGAGATTCTGAAACTATTCTTCATATTCTTGTCAACTGCCCTTTTTCAAGACAGGTTTGGACTCTTTCCCATCTTGGATTTCGGTGGTCTTCGGCTATATCTTTTGGGGAGTGGTTTCAGCAAGCCTCCAACTCCTTGACTTTGGAGAATTTGAGTTATGTTTCTATGGTGTGTTGGGCATTATGGACAACTAGAAATGATATGGTATGGCGTCAAAAAAGCAGGAATCCAGGGGCAGTAATTTCACTAGCTTCGGGTGTTTGGCACGCATGGAAGGAAGCTAAGCTTCATGGTTTGGTAGTTCCTTCTCCAGCAAACTCAAATCGTACATGGAGTCCACCCCCGTTTAACTGGTTAAAAGTGAAGTGAACACGGATGCTCAACTGGAGTGGCTCTGGTTTATGTGGTATTGGCCTAGTAGGTTAGGAATTCAACCCTGAAGTTTTAATTGCTGCAAAGCGTGGAGATTCCGGTTTTTTTACTGCTAAGTGTGCTGAGGCCTATAGCCCGTGGCGAGAAGCTTTGAAGCTGGATCAAGGATCACGGATGGAATTAATATTTTATTGTGAAACCGAATTCTCAGTCATTGCAAAATGCCATCACGATGGATACTACAAACGACTCGTCTGCTTTTGGTTTATAATTCAGGACTGCAATCGTCTTTGTCCTGAGATACCAGTTCGTAAAATGTAATTTTGTTTATAGGTCCTGCGAATGTTTAGCTGCAACATACAATTAGCAGTTGGGAAACTTATAGGTCTGCGAATGTAGCTGCACATACATTAGCAGTTGGAACACATTCCGAAGCAGGCTTGGGGGTTTGGAATTCTGTACCACCTCCTGTTCTACTTGATTTATTGATTTCGTAATAAAATTTTCCCATTTTAACTTCAAAAAAAAAAAATAATAATGTATGAAAGATAGTTGAAAAACGAGAAATAATATTTTTTTAAAAAAATTGATAGTGACCCATGCAATTTATTTATTTTTGGCTTGTAAAATTAGATTGTAATTAACTATGTTATTAATAATTGAATATTTCTTGCTCTAAAATCTTAATTTGGTGTTTTGGACCACACTTATATTAAAATTTAAAATGGGAATCAAGAACAGGACCCATAATAAGGTCAGCAATGATATTATTATTATTATTATTATTGTATATAGTTTTCATTGAAATAAGTATCTTTAAATATAAAATGAAATGGGGGACCATTTCAGAATTATTATTGATTTAATGATAAAACTTAATTAAATACTTTAACACAATCCAAAAAGAAATTTTTGAATCTTTAACTTGAATTACCATTTTAGTTAAATTGCTAAATTTAAGAACCCAAAATTTCATTTCTTGATTTTTCTTCCTTTTGTTTTTCAATTTGGCTATTCAATGGCATTTCATATTTCAACGTCAACAGAAAGCTTATTGTAGCAGATTGTGAAGTTAAACGGGAGAATTAGAAGGTTGAGGTTGCAGAAAATGTATGCACTTGACTATATTTATTAATGTGAGCATGTGATTGCCCTATTTGCCAATAGTTACATGATCATTACATCCTGACAAGTTGACCCTTTGTTGTAAAATTTTTGAACTTCTGTCTTTTTCTTGGCTCTGTAATTAGTTTGATCAAGTAATTAATTAGTCAAATCTCAGGAACTTAAAAAAAAATTTCCCAATACGAATCGGACTAATATGTTTGTAGTTATCCATCTTAATAATTTTTTTTTTCTTTCACTTTTTTTTTTATTTTTTTTATAAAATTTGGAGTGCAATTACACAAAAATAGCCAATGGTTTTTACAGGTGATCCCCATGATGAGGTGAGATTTGATTGGACAGTCTTTTGATTAGTCTTTTTAGCTACAAGGAACAAAAGTTGGATCTCATTCATTGGTCAATTTTTGATATTTTTCAATGTATTTTAGCCTAGGGAAGGACTTTAATTTTTGATTTTGGATCCACATATTAATTAATTATACTATTTATGAAGTAGATTCCAATATTTTGCAATTTCATCCCTTTGCTTAGCTAACTTTGTGGACTATCTCAAATTGATCACATTAAAAATAGTTTATGAGTAATGACTAATTAATGAGAATTTGAATTATGGGAGCAAAACAATCTAATCAATCTTTCAATTTTGATTTTACAAGTGACTAGTCTACCTCAAGTCTGCCAAACTCTCAAACAAATTAACTCTATTCTGATTAATTAGCGGTGTTTGAAGTGGGAAATTGTGGTATAGTAGAGATAGATAAGGGGGAGCAAATTTTGGAAATAAAATAAAAATAAAATAAAAAATCGAATCAAATCGAATTACCTTTAGTTTTTGTACGGCTTTTAATTTTTTATAATTTTGATTTTCGGTATTTGTTTCAATTATTTTAAAATATTTATTTTCTGAATAAAATTGAACACTTTTACTAAATTATTATGTATCGAACTGACTGATGTGGTTTTGCTTTCATACTTAGTTCGATTTATTTTTCTCGTCGGTGCAATATTATATATAGAATAAAATGAATTTAATTCTTTTAAAATAATTAGTTAATTGTTTTTTTTTTTTTTGAATAAAAATAGTTAATTCTTAAGATAATGGAATCCAATTAACCAAGGTGTTATTTAGTCCAAAAGCTTATCTACCCAATTCCAAGTTGATTTAACACTAGCTAATTGTCATATTTACTTTAAATTTGAAAGTGATGTTAAACCCTAAAATCATAGTTTTCTATTGGCTTGCTACAAAATTATGAAACATGTCTTATGAAAATGCATTATTTATGAGCTTCAAGGCAGGAACAACTAGTTCAAAATTGATTTTGCTACTTATCTATTCTAGACTTCCAACTAAATTTTATCTGTAATCCTAAACTAAACGATCTTATTTTTGACTAATACAACTCAAAAGTCTAATTAATACGTAATTAAATTTAAATATGATCTTGAGTTTTATGTCTATTTTATTTTTTATTTTTATTTTTATTTATAGGAGGTTCAAAGGATTGAAAGAACATCATGAACGAGACAATAGGAGAATATCCTTCCACTTAGTATAATATTCACTAAATTAAACTAATAGTAAGAGTGAAACTAATTAAATCCACTTTGAATAATTATAAGAATTCAATTAAACAAATAGATGATTAGACCCAAATCTCATATTAAACTTTAATATCTTTTACTCTAATTATTTGAATTGGATGTGAGATTTTTAAATCTTAACATTGTTGATTTATTCAATTTCAATGAGTATATTTAGGGAAAAAAAATTATAAATAAGAAAACGAAATCCAATATCAGCCCTTTTCATCAGATCTCATCCTCTTCATAATCATTAAAAAAACAAAACCATTGACAGTTGAATTAGTTTAACTTAATATACAAAACGCATTGACAGTTTGATTAGTTTAACCTTAATATAATATATATTATATATTATAATATATATATAAATAACACACAGACACACACACACATGTAGTGCTAAAAACTAAAAAGCATATGGGTTTATAATACATTGCGTGTATTAGTAATTATACGTATAAATTCATAATATACATGCATTCAATCAATAGACAGGCTATATGATTATTTAATTTACGAACCTTACCCTATGACTTGGCCTATAATTTGGACAAGAAAGCAATAGGCTATCATTTTCACTTTCTTATATTGTATCTCATTACTTGAGCAGACTTTGGATTCTTGAATGACTGAAGTTAAAGAAAGAAAGAGAAAGGCTGAGTAAATTTAAAAGGGTAGCCATAGAAGAACCCTATTTTCTGATTTTTTTTTTTTTTTTTTGATGGAAATTTTTTTTATGATGGAAGTTCTGTTTGCTAATCAATAATTGAAGGTTTAGAAAATTATGTATTGAAAATTGGAAGAACCTGTTCTTTTGACTTCTCATATATATATTCTCTTCTTTTTCTCCTCAACATAATATATATAAAATATATTGATATAAGATCTCCTCTTCTTCTTCTTGCTAGGTACAAAAACCCACAGTCTCCTTCTCACAGTCAACCTTCAAGTTTCAAAGTTGGACCTTTGAGAAGAAGAAGAGAGGATGGGTAAGCTTCCAGTGTTTGAATAAGGCCTAATGTGAAGAAAAAGGCCAGGGCACCAGAAAAGAAGATGGCAAAGCTTAAAGAATTATATAGAGAAACATGGAAACTGGAGGGAATGGGAATTCTTCTTCGCCACGAAAAGGCTGGTAATTATTTTTTTCTTTTTTCTTAAATCTTCGTTGGGTGGGACTACTTAAACGGGAGAATTGTTAATTAATTAAGGGTTGAAGTTCTTGGTATTTTTTTTTTTTTTTTATGATGGAAAGTTCTGTTGGCTAATCAATAGATTGAAGGTTTAGAAAACTTATGATTGAAAATTGGAGAAGCCTGTTCTTTTGACTTCTCTATATATATCTCTTCTTTTCTCCTTCAACAATAATAATAATAAAATATTATTGATATAATCTCCTCTTCTTCTTCTTGCTAGTGTACAAAAACCCACAAGTCTCCTCTCACAGTCACAACCTTCAAGTTTCAAAGTGGAAGCTTTGAGAGAAGAAGAGAGATGGGTAGAGCTCCATGTTGTGATAAGGCTAATGTGAAGAAAGGGCCATGGGCACCAGAAGAAGATGCAAAGCTTAAAGAATATATAGAGAAACATGGAACTGGAGGGAATTGGATTTCTCTTCCACAAAAGGCTGGTAATTATTTTTCTTTTTCTAAATCTTGTTGGTGGGTTTTAAGGGAGATTGTTAATTAATTAAGGTTTTGAAGTATTTTCTTGGTATTTTCCTTTCAGTCCTGTTTATGTTTTGTTTGCAATTTCTTGAATTTTTATGGATGTTTGTTTCAGGTCTTAAACGATGTGGAAAAAGCTGTAGATTAAGGTGGCTTAACTATCTCAGACCAAACATCAAACATGGAGATTTCTCCGATGATGAAGATAGAATAATCTGTACTCTCTACGCCAACATTGGAAGCAGGTATATATATTTCCATTTCTTCTCCATATATTTAGTTTTTTTGTCCCCTTGTTTATACCTTTTATGGAGAAAAACTAGAATTTTTATTTCTTTAACTATTTTTTTCTAATATACTATAGTACTGCTTCGCCATATCCATCTACTTTAACAAGAAAAGCAAATCCATTAAAACTTTTTGGTAATGATTTTCCTTTTAGGCAAAAAAGTGACATTTAAAGTAAAACTCAGATGTTTATAGAATATTCTGAATTTAGCTAAGTATAATAATTATATGCATGCATGATAAAACTTGATCATATATAAGCTTAGATATCTTTTGAAGATGAGAAATTAACGAATAATTTATATATTGCAGATGGTCAATAATAGCAGCTCAGTTGCCAGGCAGGACTGATAATGATATCAAGAACTACTGGAACACTAAACTGAAGAAGAAACTTATGGGTATTATTATTCATAACCATAATAATCATCCTGTTTCTTCCAGAAAATTACCCCACCACTTAATTACTACAACCAGTTTCTCTTCTCTTCTTCAACCTAATTCTTCATTACCATCATCACCATCTACTGCACTATCATCATCATCATCATCATCGCCATATACCCTAGCTAGGTCTTTCAGTTCTGATCAACCCCTTTTTCCATTTTCAAGTCCTTTGGGCAACAATAATAATATTCCTGCAAATATGCTCCAAACCCAAGAAAGCCTTTTTGGTGGTATGCAAAACTATAGTCAAGTGAAAGAAAGTTCTCTTTTAATGTTTGGAGGTGAAGCTAGCTGCAGTTCTTCTGATGGGAGCCATGGCGGTGCAAGTAATAATGAAGAAATGGGTTTTCAAAGTTATTTATATAATGGGGTTGAAGAGAGCCAGAAGTTATTACTGCCTGGTGGTGGTGGTGGTGGTGGTGGGTGGTGGGAGAAGCAAAATGGTTTATGGGGGGGAAATGCAAATACAATTATGGATTATGGATTAGAAGAGATTAAGCAGCTAATTAGTAGTGGTAGTAGTAGCATTTGTAACAACTTTTTGTTTGAAGAAAACAAGACAGAGGAAAGGGTCATGTACTACTACTGATGCTGACTGTGAGAGTGAGTAAAATCACAAAGATTTGAAGTGGTAAAAGAAAGAAAGAAAGAAGGGATGTGATATATAATATATATATTATGGTAGATTTTGAATTGAAAACTTTTATTGAAAGTTTTTTCAGATTTTGTTGGAATGGGATTTGGTGTTTTCCCATTTTTTAATTTTTCTTTTGACAGTACATGGTAAAAGCTTTTCTTTGTGCATCTCTTTTTGGGAAATGGTGTTTGCATGTTTGTGTAAGTACTTAGTACAATTAACTGCAACAATCAGAAACAACTGTCATGGAAACTAGAGAAATTTAATTAGTTACCATTCTAATTTAAAAATTTATTCCGCAAAATTAATTGTTTTTACAGTGATCACCGATTAGCATTTTATAAAATATCATTTCAATGTTTAAAAGTTAATATAAATTTTAGATCACCAATACCCAAAAAGAACGTTAAAAATTACTTAAAAAATTATTTACGGACAAAGTTCAAGAACAAATGTTAGATATCAGGTCAAACATCATTGTTTTTTTAAAATTTTTTTCTGGGGAAATTTCATGTTTTTAAATTAAATAGGGACTCAATTTTTTTTTTTTTTTGGGATTTTTTTTTTTTGATAAAAAATGAAAATTTGAATATAGTCAATGGCATTAGCACAAGGTAATATCCTTGAAGATTGGTTGATACCATCTTGAAATATTTAATAAAGACTTGATGCTAATCTCAGTCTTCTTAAACAAGTACTAATATATATAAGTTAGTATAAAAATTAAAAATATAACATAAAATTAAACAATGTAAGGTTGGCAGGCATGAAGCCAAAAATTGACATCATCTATATATATAAGCCTGACTAGTTTCATGTGGAGATATTTATTTTTTATATCATGGGTGGGAGAGAGAGACCAATTAATTAGATTATGTCTATTAATTGTAGCACTAAAAATTAAACATTACTAAAAAAATGTGTAATTTTCAATTTAGGCTGCATAGAGAGGTGGCAATATTATTCAAATGTATATAATAATAATAATGCCTGATGATAAATAAGATGACACATGGAAACCATGTTTCAATTATTGAAGACCTTTTGATTATGACTTGTGAGTGTATATTGAGGGGCAAGAAAAATAATCAAATTAAAGTTTTGATTACAAAATTAATTAATGGTAAACAAATTCAATTTGGAGGGAACAAAGATTTTAAAAATAAAAGAAAAAAAGAAAATGAGGTAAGCAGAGCTAAATATTATATGAGTTAACTTTTTTCAAAACGTTATTCTAACTTTTAAAAGTCAGTCCAAACATTATGTTATCTAACAACTTTTTAAATAGTTTTTAACATTTTTACGTTATTAAAAAAAAAGAAAGGTGTAATATTATTTATTGGTCGGCATGGATTTTGGTGTTTTAGATTAGATAAAAATTGAGTATTTTATTACGTTATTCCAAGAGAAAAGCAGAAAGCAATATTGAAAGATGAAAAAAATGCATTGACCTCTTCACCATTTTTGTTTGTATGTTGAGTTAAAAAAAGATTAGTTTAATTGCCAGCTATAGGCATTATATAAAAGATTTCAAAATCATGTTTGTCTTTAAGCTATTGGGAAGGATTTTCTAGGAATGTCTTTTCTAGTGGAATGCAAAAGTCAAAATTAAATGTTTGGCACCAACAAATTTTTTAATTACATTTTGGACAATAGATAGTCTCACCTAAACAAACAGTATTAAGCTTTTAATTATTTTAAGTCCTTTTACTTTTTAATTTCTAATAAAAATATGAGAATGGCAATAGGATAGAAATTTTCTATTTTTCTCATGCAAATTATTTAAACTTTGGAAATAATTTTTTTACCATTACAAAAGAGTTTTAAAAATTAGTTTTTATAGGTAAAAAAAACCTCACATATGCAATGTATTTCAAGCAATATCTTTTACTTATGGTGAATTTCTTGACTGTCATTAAAAATAAATTCATCACTAGAGTTCCCTTTTCTTCTTAGCACAGTAAAGAAGCAAGAGAACTTTATTATAAAGAAAATCAAATGAGAAAGGTAGCATGAACTTTTCCAACAGCAAATTAAAAAGAAAATAAAAAATCAATTTTCCAAGAAGAGAAAAATTGATAGAAGGAATGAAAAAGGTGATTTTACCCACAAGTGGGACCAATTAACTTTGTAAATTTCGCTTTCAATGAATTTATAAAAATCAGCTAAAGGTTATGATTAGCGTGGTTTACGATTCATAAATTTGTTTTTCATTTATTTGCTCTTTTTTAGTACTATTATAAGTATTCATAATCTACTGGACTATAATTAAATCTCTGCTCGTGTCGGGTTGCCTCACCAAAAATAAAGTATTCCTGCATATTTATTTCATTTGAGGATCGAATCACTTAAAAAAAAGAGTGTCGAACTATTTATTCTAGTCAATTATTTATTTTATTTAAGCTGAAGCACATTAACAAGCTTGTTCAGCCAACAAAAAAAAAAAAAAGAATAAAAAGAAGAAGAAGAATACCGAAAGACGAAGAAAAAGGAAATGAAGCTTATTCTACGGAACTTGGATTCAACAGTAGGCAATGTATTTGTTCCAAGGCAAAGAAAGTATAGCTGTTTTTGGTCAAATAAAGGACGTTTCTGAGTTTAATACGGCAGCTCTTTAAGTCTTAGATTTCCAATTGGGAACTGTTGAAATGACAAAAAAGTAGAATTGCAATGATGAGAATTACAACTTAAAAGGGAAGGAAACTGAAATAGCAAGAATGGATGAAATAATTCTATTCAATTCATATACTAATCATCAACAAGAATTCATAGGAAAAAGCAATCCTGATCTCAAGAAAGCAGAAATGTTTGACATTATGGTTGAACTAGTAAATAACATGCATATTCACAAATTTCCACTGTGAATTCTAATTGGTTAGTAATATCTCATAATGCAGAACTCTCAGTTATAGTGTAGAAATATATGTCGACATATCAAGAAAGATGATTACATAAATAGAATCTTGGAAGAAGGTTAAGAGTTTAATCCTTCATAAAAGGCAAGAGGTTCAGAAGTTTAAACCCCTGCACCTCTCTTCTCATCTTCAGCAATTATTAGTAGCTGGATCTGTTCATTCACGAGCCGAGCTGAAGAAAATTATGAGTCAGACAAGCCAGATATTTGAAAATTTTGGTATTATTCAAAAAAATGCCAGAGCCATGAACGAGTATATTGTTAGCCATTAATGAATAACTAAAATCAAATTATCCAAAATAACCCCATGTTCAGGCAATAAAATTAAGGTTAACACGGTAACTGACGCATGAAATTGAAAAAAATAGATTAGATATTAACATTGAATTTGTCAATTTGTCATTAGACATGAATGATACAACATCATGAATTTGTACATATAAACAGACCAATTATATATACAGAATGCACAAATATTGACGGTTAGAAGGATTTTGATACATCATTTACAAAAAATCCCATTGCCAATAAACTTTCTCTACAATCCCTCCACCACTCCGAACAGCAAGGCGAAGTGTTTCTGAAGCTGGAGGAACCCCCCAAAGATATGGTACTGCTACAGTCATGGTTAGCTTTTCATGTAAACCCCCTTTGATTGCCTTCTCTGCAGCGACAATCTGAAAAAACGAGCATTCAGTCTATCTTAGGTTATGTCTAATCCACACAAACAAAACTACCAGATATTTAATGGTGCTCTAAAATTATGCTAACATATATATACGTAATCATTTGAGAAGGTATGCTGAGATTAAGGAGGAAGTTGATCTATCAAAAGAGAATTACTACTTCCCTTTCACCTAGATAATTCATTATTTTGAAACTTAAAAACAATGAGAAAGGATGGTTATGTTGCTTGGGAAACTCACAGATAAATGTCCAACAGTGAATTAGGTGCATTTCACATGTTGCATCACTACCATATTTGCAATTTCAGAAATTACACACAGGAAACAGCCCTCCAAAAGTTAATAAAATTTGTTAAAATTTAAAATAACTTCAAATCTGATATTTTCATTCATTTAACGAATGATATGACTAATTTATTATAGAAAGTAAATCAGAACCAAAGCAAGCAATCAAGAAGCCAACACAATCTTACAAACATAATTTTCAAATTCTTCAGTCAACATAAAGTCCAGTTTAATTCTCAAAAAACAATAAATCATACTTTCCTCAGACAACAAAAGCGAAAAACTGATGAAGACAGGATCACATCCGGACTAGAAATTATTATATATATATAATATAAATAACATTCATGAAAAATGATTAGTTTCATTTTGATATGAATTCAAAAGCCAAAAGATCAAAGATGCAGCTTCATTGAGCATTTAAAGTTGCTTCTTGATTCTTAACCTGCATTATCGAGCAACATTGGGCTTCTTTTGCACCACAAACCACAAGATGATTTTAACAATAACATATATAATTTATTCATTTCCTCAATTTTGATAACTTATCAATATAGATAGGAATGGCAGGCAAAAATTAGTATTGCACTTTAACATCCTCAATATAAATCAAAAATAAATTATTGTTAAAGCTATATTCTGCTGTGGCATACCTCCCCACCATGCTCTAAGACAGTGTCTTCCACAACATCACTTAGCATCTCAATTGAACGACAAAACCCAAATATACAGAGCCTTCTGCCCGTATCAAGTCCCTGAAATGACCAAATCCCATACATAAGATATCGGAGAAGAATCCACACAGTCTCTTCCAAAATAACAGCAAAAGCATGGCTTACATTTGTAGCGGCAATATCAAAGAGTGCTCCCAAACATAAGCCCTGCTGTGGGTCCATATAATCACTCTCTTGATAACGTTGAAACCTCTGCGTAGTGTTTGACCTACCTTGCTTCTTCTGTTAAGAAATGCATATTTCTTTTAGTAAACCAAAGTAATGGCAGATACCCGTGATCACTTAAGGAATGAGCAACAGAAACGGCAAATCTGTAATGTGGGCACTGAAATAGCATTTCTCCGTCGCTTTTTCAAATGAGAGAAAAATACACATAAGAAAACGAGTGGAACAAAAATTGGGATTTTAGAAACATGATAAGATATCAAAACGTCATTAAAACAACCAAATTCCCAAATAAAAAATGAAGCTTCAAAAGACCAGAGTTTCAAACCAAAAGAAGAATAAGAGAGAAGGGTCAGCGAGATCAAACGGCGTACATCTGAAGAACTGACTAGTCGAGGAACCACAGAACCTCCAATCTGAATAAGCCCATCAGCTGTGAACAGTGTAACTTTCTCCTCCTGAATCCATTCAATCGCTGCAAATGCATTGACCATAGACCATCAATTTAAAAGGGAAAATTTACAAAGTTTCAACTAATACTGTATATACAATTCAATTAAATGAAAAACCATTTTGACAAAGTTTAAGCAAGATACTAATATAGAATATATTTCAATTGATTCTCTGCACTATGTAAAAAGATAAATTATCTAAAGTTCTACAGTCTTATATCAATTTCCCTCTCTAATTCCAATAAATTCTCGAGAATCAAATATAAAATATCAAAATTAGAGCTAAATAAACTAACAAGATAACGAAACAAAGAAGGCGTTACCGTTATCGCCATCGGACCAGGGGAAAGAACCGAGAAAATCGTCGCCGAGGAAGTTACCGGAATCGGAAGCTTTGGAGGTAAAGTGAAGGGAGCGATAAGAGCGAGAAAAGGACTTGGAGAATTTAGAAGGAAAGGGAAAAGAAAGAGGTGATGTGGAGAGGAAGGAATTTGAATCCCTTGAGCGAGAAACGGAAGGAATTGGAGAGAAGCGTTTGAAGTAGAGGGCAGAGGTTTCCGCCATTGGACAGAGACGAAGGAAATGATTCTGTCGGAGGGAAAATCAGAGAAAGAGAGGGAGGGAATTAGGAATCTGGAGAAACTGTAAAGGGTTATTAGTGAGAGGGAAAGGAAGGAAAGAGAGAAGAGAGAATTTTGACGCCACATATCATATGTGGACGATGGATAAGTAGCTGAACGACGCGTTTTGTTGTAGTAAAACTAAAAATTCGCGGCGTGGAATCCAAGTTCGAAAGTTGGAAAATGGAAATGGGCAGCTTTGTCGTATCTATCAATATCTGAACGACAGTAAAAATTTACCCCCAACTCAGCTTTAATGAATCAAAACTGCTAGTCGTAGCTGTATATGAGAGCAAAATTTCAATGAATGGAATGAGATGGAATGGGAGATTCAAAAAAAAAAAAAAAGGTAAAATCAAAATTAATACTATTTATTGATTAAAAATCATAAAATTAAAATTAAAATGAAAGTTAAAAGTTGAAAATAAATGAAATAATGAATTCTACACCTCTCAAGTCGTGTAGCGTAAATGTGTATTCTCACCCTTATCAGATTAGAGCTCGTTTACCACTCCGACTAACATTTTATTAATATAATCACAATTATATTAACACTGAAAATTATAAAATTAAAATTTTTAACTTATATTTAAATGTAACTCAATAAATCATTAACCATTATATAATTCACAATTTATGAATTTTAATACTTATATCATGCAACATATACAATTCAGCCATCAAATTTTCAATAAACGTTGAATAATTTATTCAACGTTTATTGAAAATTTAATGGCTGAATTTTAAGTTTTGAATGATATAAGTATTAAAATTTAAATTTATAAATTGTAAATTACATAATGGTTTAATGATTTATTGAACTACATTTGAATATAACTTAAGACTTTTAATTTCATCATGTTAAATGTTAATATAAATGCGATTATAAATATTATTGTATAAACGCTCGCACGAACAAATGAATTTAAAGTGATTAGAACATTCAAATAATTACCTTTCAACTTTCAATGAATGAATTTTCTAAAAATCGAGTCATAATTCCTAAATATCCAATTAGACAAAATTTTAAAATTATGAAAGTCTTTAATGGAGAAATTTTTCTAATAAAGACGAATCTTTTAAAATTAAGGGATTGAAATTGAACAAAAAAAAAATATATGAGGGCTTATTTCAAATAAATAAAATAAATAAATTATTCATTTGATTCTAGAGAGTCAGAGAGTACTTATTTCAAATTTGAAAATTTGAGAGCACTACCTATTGAAAGTCATAAACAGCCTTACTGTGTAAATGGATTGAAGAAAAACTGACTGTGTAACTGATTTAATCGAGATAGAAGTAGCCATCCAGATTTCACAAAACGAATAGTAACTCCTGATAATTCTGAGAAACCATCTGGTAGGTATTTCTAGCAAAAGGATGATAAAATTTACAAACTACTGCTCGTTTTAATGCCATTAAAGATTATTCGTCTTCCACCTATGAGAGAATTCATCTTCCACCCATTGAAGATTATTCATCCAATTGTTTTTCATATTTGTGTTTGTCGCCAATTGTTATTTATTTATCATTGATCATGAGAAAAGGCATATTTTGTTTTGTCAACCAGGCGAATATAAATTTATCAAAAAAGAGTTTGAAGACAATTGGTTTACAGTACATTCATTTGCGACTTTTAAAGGAAAGTTATATGGTCAAGTAGGAAATTATCGTACTATTGCTATTACTGTTCAGGATTCTAAATTTGAGTTCCAAGTGCTAGAGGAGGACTTCAATACCACATGTCCATTTCAATCATTAGTCTGTGGTTATAGACCTGCTTTGGTTGAGTGTTGTGATGAGCTATTATTGGTACACGAATTGTATTGTTCATTAAATTGTAATGATGTACATGGTTTTCGATTTGATTCTTCAATCAAATATTGGGTATTGATCGACGATAGTGGAGAATCAACTATTTTTCTATCATGGGGTCATGCTATAATTCGCAATTCGGAGTCGAATCAAATTCAATTTACTTTTTGGAGGATGAAGAGAGACATTATCATATTTTTAATTTAGAAGATGACAGTTTTACAATGAAGCTGCCATGTGCAACTGCAGCAGTAGATTCTACCTTCCAATGGAGCATGATACTCAAGGGTCCAAGTGGAAACATGTAATTTAGTGATTTTGAGCTTCATTTAATTGCGTTCTATAAATAAATTATGTATATGATTTCTTTTTTTTTTTTCCCTGAATGCATTAGAGGACTACTAATTTCTTGCAAAACTGAAAATTTATATTACAACATTGCAAAGCTCTGGTTTCCCTTCCATCCATAATGGAAAAGCTTCTGCTTTTGTTCTTAGTTTCCACCTCTGTCACTTCCTTGTTCTACTTCACTTCTTGAAGAATGCCTCTCTCCTATGCACAGTTCATAATCGAAATGTTACTAACTTGATATTGACTCCACCAGTGTCTAACCAAGAAGTGACATTGGCATCAACCCAGTTATCATGTGAATGCTAGTTGATGGAATAATCTTGTATTATTAATGTGGAGCCTGAAGAGACATTTTTGTATTCTTTTAGCCCATTGCCATTGCTTCTCGTGGCTGCTCTTCCTGGAGGTAAAATTTGATTCATGTACATTTTTGTATTATTTATGGCTTTTATTATTTATTTCAGGGATTTATTACTAAATTGCAAGGTGAAAGCTTCATATTCTGTTAACTTGGTTTGAAGTTTTACTAATTTCTATCTTTTATTTATTGCGGATGTTATTTTTTCATTATTATAATACTTTTGAATGCATGATGGAGAATTGTAAAGGATGTTTCTTTAGAGCATTAATTATTAAGGATGTGGCTTAATCGGGAATGGTTGATTAGAAAAAAAAAATTCTTTGGGTATTCAGTGTTTGGGTTTGGATGGGAATAAGGTGTTTGGTATAATCCTACAGAGTATTTGGTTTAATGGAGAATTGACACATAATTTGGAAAGCACAGGAAAATCTTGTCAAGTATAGATTTCTGTTTGAAGAAAGAGAAGAAAGGTTGCTTAAGTTGGTTTACACAAAAGCAAGTGATGGAATGTCAAGTGAAAGTAAGTTCAGCAACTATATCCATAGCTTTTAAGATATCACCATGCAAAATTTATCTGAAATAAATACAGAAAATTTAACAGAGCAGGAGAAAAGTTGGTGGTCATAAATTTTTTTAACTTTTGTGAATATAAATTGTGGGATATAATACGTACAGTACAACGTTTTTGTATGCTCTGAAATCAGCTGGGACTAAAAATGCTTTCCATTTTCAAGAACAAACCTTCGGAATCTATCTGTGTCCCACAAATGGAGTGCGATACGTGTGTTCCTACAAAGATGAAATCCGGTAAATTCAGTAGTCCTTCTGGTATTTTGGTGTTTAATATGAGTTAATACAGCACCATTCTGCTCCGAAAGCATTGATTGCCATTGTTGGATGACAAGCATATACTTAGTTATTCTATCTTCACCTCAAGTTGCTATCTACTTTATGCCTTCCTTTCATTTTTTTAGTACTCAAGAATTTTAAATATGTGAATATCAGCTGGTACTGTGAGATCTCTCTTTGGGCCTTTCGTGGAGCTTGTAAAATCATGGAATCTTCGCGATTGGCTTGTGCATTGGGGTCATCCTGGAAACATGGTATAATTTACTCTTTTGATCTTGCTTCTTCATTGGCCATTGCCACATACGTTACTTTCAGTTTCTTGTTTCAAGTATTGCTGTTCATAATACTTTCCGGTGCTTATTAGGCTGTTGTCCTCTTTTCAATTTCTTGGGATTTCAAATTCGTTTTTCTGATGATGTGGTAAGCTGAGCAAAATGTTTTACTTGCGACCAAACCTATATATATATATATATATTACTCTTTTGATCTTGCTTTCTTCATGGCCATTGCCACATACCGTTACTTTCAAGTTTTCTTGTTTCAAGTATTTGGTGCTGTTCTTAATAACTTCCGGGCTTATTAAGGCTGTTGTCCTCTTTTCAATTTCTTGGGCATTTCAAAATTGCGTTTTCTGGTGATGATGTGGTAAGCTGAGCAAAATGTTTTACTTGCGACCAAACCTATATATATATATATATATATCTTCCTGATACCTTGATATGGTATGATTCAGGAGGTGAAGGCCAAGGCTAAAGACTTGCACCCAAAGCTTCTAGGTGGCATGTTTTTCTTCTTTGCTCTTGGAGCAACTGGTGGAATAACATCTTTACTCACTTCAGATAAACCAATTTTTGAGAGGTACTTAAATCTATATCTACTTGGATTTTCATTCACCTTACATTTTTATTATTCGACAGAATGCTAATCTTTATATTTCTGTATTTATGCAGTCCACATGCTGTTACTGGTTTTATAGGCCATGCTCTGTTGACCATACAGACAATTTTACCAGCACTCTTTGAGGTAACAACTGAAGTAATTAATTGCTAATAATCTTTTATTGTTTCATTTAGTCTGTGCAGATTCTTGAATTTCTTAATTTACAATCTTGATTTAATCATGTGCAGGGAAATCCCGGATTGCGAAACGTTCATGGGATCTTGGGAAGTAGTATTATGACACTCTTTCTTCTACATGCTGCTCTAGGACTTCAACTTGGTCTCAGTTACTAATCATGGACCAGACACTTACAAAATTCTTTCCTGATTTAGTTTTTTGGCTTATCCTGTATATTCTTTCTGGATAATAATTCATGTTAATAAAAATGTTCAAAACAGAATTGTGAAAAAAAAAAAAAAGAAGAAATTACAAACCAGTAGATCGATCCATGTTGCCGATGAAGTTGCAACTTTTGTATGACAATTCACCCTAATCAAAAACAGGCATATGATTATAAGCTTGTAGCTGTGGATGACACAATTGTATGACAGTCTCCGCTCAAACATCCATAAGGTAACACTACAGTTTGGATGAAGGAGAGAAATTTATGTATGATATATCCCTACCATATTTAATTATTTATTATCTAATAATAAATACAAAATAAATAAATAAAAAATCTAGATTCAGTGTTTTAAATCTTATCCATCTTAACAATGTCAAAAACATGTTCTATCGGTTAGAATGGTGCAGCCAAAAATTTCAAACCTCCAACATTCAAAATTCAAACCCACGTTTTCATTT